TTCCGCTTCGCTGGGTGGATTCATTGGGGCGAGCCAGGGTGGACAACAAGGTGTACTGCATGTACTGATGGGTGGTGGAGGCCAGTTGAACTGCGAGTGAAAGTGCTCGGCCCAGTGGTACATACGACTCTGTTGGTTGGTGATCGGAGACTCATCCACCTTAGAAATGACCTCACTGACACCAGGCTTCCTGGGGGCAGTGGACCGAATGAGTCGGAAAAGCCTGCGAGTGTTGCCAGAGAGGGCAGCGGTCTCCATCTCTACAGCACGTTCAGACCACCATGTCTCGCGATCCTTCGTAGGCTTTGCTTGAGCAGCCGGTTGGCAGAACGGCGCCGCTCCTTGCAATCTGATTCCGCGGAGATATCTTTGCGGCGTTCGAACAGCTCCACGGGACGAGCAAAGATCCAAGGCTTTAGGGAGAGTTGAGTTAGGCCGCAGCATGACTGTCCGGAAATGATCAACGCTTTCCGTATTCAAGTCCGGGGTTGCTCCACGTCTTGCGGTGGATTACAACTGAGTGCATATGCCAGTGAAGACTGATAGCTCGTCTGGACAGAGAAATCAGTTAATCTGTTTACATTAATCTTGCAGTGCTTTGTTTTTCGGGATCCTCCAAAACGCATACAGATTTTCGCGCAGACCAATGCATGATCTGAGTCAACGAAGGTGGACTAAAAGTACCTGCAGTCCAGTACGCTGCCGCGCCATCTGAAGCTAATTGCACTATGATCAATTTGAGACCACGGTTGTGTTGAAGAAGGGAGACGCGACGTTGCGGAACGCTTCTTAGTACGCCTGAAGTTAGTGCTCGAAAGAAACAGACGGTTGTCTTCGCAAAATGTGAGAAGTCTCTCTCCGTTATCAGAGCGGTTCTCATCGAGCGAGTGATGACCACCAAGGTGGCGTTCGTATGGTAAAAGGCGGCCAACCCGTGCATTAAAATCCCCAGGAAGGATAAGGACATCCGACTTTTTAGCATTCGTCAAGAGCTGTTGTAGATCCCGGTAGAATTCGTCCTTGACCGAGACGTCACTGCAGTCAGTTGGAGCGTACACGGAGATCACAAACAAGTTGTGCCTCTCTTTGCGGTGCCTTTTGATTCTACATGAACCGCGAAGCCGAGCTGCACATAATCAGCTGTTAATAGGGAACCAGTTCAGTAGTGCCGCCTCGGCCTTGTCACTTAGTGCTATACCTACACCAGCCAGACCCGCTGAGACTGCTGCTGGATCTCCACAAAGACGCAGGTGATATCTGGCTTCGTGGTCAGTGGGGGACGTCAATGTAAACACAGTGCTGGGATCTTGCAATCGGGTTTCTGAAAGGCAGCAGACATCAATGTCTAGGGAATCTACGGTGCATGCTAGAGCGGCTCGTTGTCCAATCTGCATGTGTCCGAACGTTGTAGCACGCCAGACGGAACGAGGATCGGGGACGAAGGAGAGCCATAGGTTGAACTCCTTGGTCTGCAGCACAGTCGGAATCGCAGCCAGATTGTTGTACACATGAATCGGGTAACGGAAAGTGAGGATTGTTAACAAACAAACAAGTGGCGTGTGATGAAGTCGCGTGAAAGTGACTAGCAGCAACAGCAGCTGATGAGCACGTTGTAATACAGTCCATGGTTTTGCGAGAGGGCGTGATACCACCCGGTTGCCCAAGCCGAAGTAGGGAGTTGACTTAGGGGACTCCACCCCGAGCCTTTGGCTAAATAACCTACCCGCAAGGTAGCGGGGCCGCTTGGTGATAGTAGCAACAAAGTCACTAGCTTTCATTCCCATCCGCCGGCTTGTGACGAAACAGAATACTTGGATGAGATAAAAACAGGCGGGTTCCCGAAAGAAACGAAGGTGCATAAATCATATCCTTACTATACGGTAGATAAGTCCGTTCAACTCACTTATACGGTTGTGAAAGCTGGCCCATCAGGTCGACAGACATACGGTGGCTAGCCAAGTTCGACCATCTCTGCTTTCGCAGCTTAGCTCATGTCTGGTGGGAGCCCCGCTTGCAGGAAGAGCTAGTGAACCGCTCAGCACCATTATATCACGCACCAGACTCCGATGGCTGGGCTATGTGTTGAGCATGCCAGCACACTGAATTCCGCAAAGTGCATTGCTTGTGCGCCGGGGGTGCGGTTAGAAGAGAAGGAGGGGACGGCAAGCGATGACTTGGTTGAGAGAAATGAAAACCCTCACCTCGAAGTTGGCGTCGGTTGGTGCATCCCGACTGTCTGGCTGGGGTCCTAAGGACAATGAACACGTTTGGTTGGACACATTTGCTGATACGGTGAAGAGCCGGCCTCATCGGCATTTGTGTTGTGATGTGCATTGTCCATCCCCTCAGTTTTAGATTCCCCCTCCAATTCCGATCGCACACGAATTACGTAATATAATATTTAACATTACGTTGCTTCCTTTTGAATTTTGTGTAGTGTAGCTTTTTTGTATCTCACCTTTTCTATCGCGGCACATTAGCTGAGGTATTGCTTGCCCTCAAATAACATGCATTGTTTATGATGATACGGTAGACAAAACAATAGTTTTTCATATACGACAGACCGACTGTAGCGATGTTCCACGGTTTCAAAAGTGCATTCGTAATGGTTTGGAATCAAAGCCATTATGTTGTATTACGTAGGCAGGATAATGTCAGGTTGCCCAGGCCCAGACAGGAGAACGATTAAAGTTCTCAATCAAAACCTTTGGTTCAAAAACCTGACCGCAAGGCAGCGGGCTTCGCAGTGGACTATAAGGAGTCCGTTTTAAAAAATCAAGAGCACTCATTCCAACCCCAAAGCTGGAGGACCAGGAGACTGAGTTTGTCCGGTCTCCAACCATTGACTAAGCTGGTAAGAGTGGCTCTGAAGGCGCAAAAGCACCATCCAGCAATGTGGGAATCACGAACCTTTTCTCCCTCTGACCTCCGAACATACTGACTTCTCTGACCATGAACATAGAAATGGCTTTCATCGCTGAGTAGGACTTTTCTCCAATCTTCTTTTGTCCAGTTTTTGTATGTTAGTCCCCATTTGTAACGTTTAACTTTCATTACTTTTGTCAGAAGTTGTGTTTTCACAGGCCGTCTGGCTTTCCGACCAACTTCCAGCCTGCGAACCGTTGAAGAACTGATTTCTATTCCTTTCTCCCCCAAATCACGTTTTAATGCGTCACTAGTCTTTCGAGGATCTTTAACACTTTCCCGTATTAGGTAAGCGTCATCCCTGGCAGTGGTTTTCCTCTTAGGACCACATTTCCCTTTGCGTTTTGGCGAAATGCATCCCGTTTCCTTTTTCTTTTTGACCACACGGCTGACGGTTGCCGGACTGACGCCTACTATTCTTGCTATGTCCCTGTAGGTCTTGTCTGTGTGTTCGTGCAAGGTCACGATCTTCATGCGCCTTCTGGGAGTCACGTCCATCTTAAACAATGAGTGAATCACAAAAACAAGAAGTTGAAACAAAAACCTTACTAACCATGAAAAGTATGACGCAATCTAGGGTGATGTAACGACTAGACATGCGCAGGTATTACATCGTCTGATTCACAAACAATGATGAAATATCTATTCCCAAAATAAAATAAAAAATAAATGCCAAAAGGGCAGCTTTCATGTATAAAAACATGATATTCATGGAAAAAGAGACACAATCGTAGTTTGTTTCAATTAATGTGCACAAGGATGTATAATAATGTTCGAAAAATTCGATTGCCTTATTCTGCTCGATCCACTTGCTCGAAACAGCTCCGGTAGGTGGCCTAAAAGATCACAAGCCTACCTTTTAATCCCAGGGCGAGTCCGAGCCTGCGTAGGGGACCGCGCGACGCTCGCAGTGTCCTAAGCCCACGAGCGACGGTTGGTGGTTGCGCGGCAGCATTGTCGGTATTGCGTACTGGCGTAGTGTTGATACCTTTTTTCAAAACGGCATTCCCAAGAAATACGTGAACATCGGCGCGCACCGCATTGAGACAGAACCGATCGAGTTAGGATTGACAGTGAAATGTCGAATGCTATTTCGAAAACCGGTGGCGCTCGTTATGACAAGTGTCATTTTTACCCGAATTTGTAACAGACCAAATCATAAGAGTGGTTCCTCGTAGAATTCCATGATGCGAGTAGTGACGTGCTTCCCAGGGCAAAACTAATTACTATGTTTTATGCAGACGATATTACTTTGACATTTAACTACCGTGAAACTTGGTTAAACTTGCACCTTTAAGGTTCAGTTTTATTGAAAGACCACTTGATGATTAAAATCCGAAAGATGTTCAACTGGCTTAGCTTTGGGGATACATCCGCAGTGACAGGTGTGACCACCAGAAGTGGCTCACATGTTACGAGAGCTAGAAGTGGAACGCCCTGGGTCTTAAGACGAGTGTCTACGGGACCACTGTGACGGTTGCTTACAGCTACCGTAGCGAGGTTGGAGTCCGTCGGTACAAATATTCCAAGCGTTTTCATATGTTTGGTCGTCGTACCTTACGGAGTACTGCTCGCGTCAAGTTGCGCTAGCCTATCTGAAAAAAGGTGCAGTGTATACAAGGGCTGAAACGAGCAGGGCAGTTTATTAGATCAGCAAATAAGTTTAACGGAAGAATAGTAGGGGGAGTTGTTGAAAGATGATTAACGAAGAAACAACAATCCAACGGTGTTAGTAATGAAAATAAGGACTACAAAATGAGGCAAAAAAGATAAAGGGTATAAAGCAGGTCACTAAGGCTTGACAACCTAGTAACAGTCATACGCATCGAAAAATAGGAGTCAAGTAAGATAGATAAGAAAAAACTCAACATTGTTTTAAGATATGAAATAAGCACTTCACAGTGGAATAAATATACATATAATGTACGAAAAGCTAAGTGTGAAAAAATTGGTGCACGTGTACAGTTCGCGAATCTGAAAAAACAATGAGTAAGTGTAATTCATGCAGATGTGACTCGATTCATAAAAACAGGCGAAAACTGAGTCCATAGGTAAGAGGGGGAGCGAACACTCACTCATCAATGGGGTAAAAGCGGTAGTCAAACAATCCTGAAGTACGTCTCAACGCTTCGTAATTTGTTCCGCACATCAAACCGGAACCCGTCACAACTAGTACACATGCGATAAGTGAAATGTAAGGCGAGCGGTCGGGACATGCATCTAAAGAAAAGGTAATATATAATCGTAGTATCAGTTACCCATTACTGTTGTAGTTTGCGATCGGTATGAAATTCCGAGTTCTTCGGAGCGCAAAGCGTGAGTTATACTAGATCGGTGGAGCTGAAATGCAAAATAGACACCTATTAGTACTAATATATGGCTAACATTTGACCAATGGCGATACAACTGGTAGAGTGCCACATTTTGTAGGCGCTTGGATGCCGCTGACACGACCAGCTAGTATGAATTAAACAAGTCAAGCTTTATGTAGCCAGATGGGTGCATTTTCCGTAGTTGCACCCTTAAATGCAGGTGCAGAAAAATGGCATCAGCAAAAATGCAAGTTCAACTTCAAATAAAACAGGAACAATAAGGAATCCTGCAAAGGTTCTAGTTTGGTCAAATATATACTTGAGTATCGAATCGACACGCGCGTATCACACAACATTCAACAGATCAATGCCTACATGCCCTGCACCAGTCGTCCCCAGTGTTCAGCTGCTGTGGTGTTCGCCGACCTGAGCAAACTGACTGCAGACGTTTTATCATCATTCCAGTTGACATAGTCAGTGCAGGATTGATGGCAGTTTCGTTGTAGGGGCTGTAGAAAGGCAAACCCAATGATAGACATCGTCAGCCGCTATTGCGTTCCTTAAAGTTGCCTATCTCCAGCTCCTGTCGGGAAACTGCCATCACTCCTGCACTGATAATGTACCCTCGAATAGTGACGAAACGTTTACATTCAAGATGCCCAGCTTGGTAAACATCACAACAACTAATCAAGTCTCCATAGCTACCAATATTTCATGTAATCTCGAGTCCTCAATGTGTCAGAGTAAGGGGAGTAGAAAGAAGAATGGAACGAGGTGAAAGAAAAGCATAGTAAAACCAGCAGAGAGCATACTCTAAGCACGAAGAAATGAGACGGGTAAAATCAGATCCTCCTCCGATGATGTTGATAGCGTGGTGAAAAAATGCCATGCCTAAGCAGTTGCTTGGGATATGGTTGACGGCATCCGATTCCGGATTTGACTGTCACGGCGATCTTCATAAGACCAGCAAAGGACACCAAGGCTTACAGAGGGGCCATGAGTGGCTTGCGATGCACCACCCACAGCTCCATCCACACATGCCATATCCAGTGTAAACCCGAAGGAATAAGGCCGAAAAATATGGGGATGGGTGCTACGTTTCATCAACGGAGCCGGTCCACACCCCTTCAACATGCACAGTAGCAGTATTTCTGTTTAGTTAATTTGGGAATGGTGCGTACCAGACTTAAAGGCGGTAGTCCGCTCCACACTAGATGCATGGAACGACTCTTTGAGCCTAGCATTGTCACGAGGTCCGTGCACCCGTCTCTCCCGGCAACGACCAACTGCCGCTTGGAGCCAGTAATCGAGGTGGATGGTGCTAGACAAGTAGGCGCCTTGTCAACATTCACATCAAGCGCAGCCACACCAAGGGTACCAAACGACGGCCAAAAACTAAGATGCAAGAAACGCTACAAGCAGGCACACGTACAGACCAACTGCAGCGGTGATGCAGCGCACGTACCACATCAACCGCATTATGACGGTTGAATCGGAAGCAGCCAACTTACTAACCACCATGAGGACGATGATTAACCTATTCAATTGACTCGTTAAATTCTTGATGTTGGAGTAGCGTGACAACGATGGTGGCGTACGAAGCCGGTTGGGTTCAGGCACTCGCGACCGCATATGCTACAGCACCATGTGCTCGACGTCGATCGGCTAGAACTCATCGACGCATTCGCTTCCACATAAAGCGTTTCTATTCTGCATGCGGCGGTGATTTCTCATGCAAACGAGGAAGCCTACTCATGGTACGCTCTCGCCATCGGCGCCGATTTACTGCCATCGCTTCCCAACACCTGGAAGCAACATCAGTTCATGATAAGCATCATCATTACACAGTAGCTGAAGGTAAGAAACAGACTCCAACTATCGTGCCGCAATGCAAAAAGTTAGGGTTTCTGAAAGAACGAGGAAGTACGATAGGTAATATATTGCTTAGTAACATTTGATGCTCCAAGACAGATCGTGGTTAGAGAGCGAAGAAAAACGGCATGGGAAGTGACAAAGAAACCCACAACACAAACGTCATTGAGGTCGGCTCCTTGGCATGTCAACAAGTGTATCTAACCAGACGAGTTCACTATTCTCCAGTATCCGGCAGTCCGGAGCTACCAACCAGCGGCAAGTTCGAAGTGAGGACCCACATTCCTCCTGACCAAATCATCGCTTAGCTTCCTCTTCTCTTCATCTTTCCACACCCTCGGCGCGCAAAACAATGTACGATGCGAGAGTAGGTGTGCTGGCAAGAGTTCGTGAGAAAACCATCTTCTTCATGTCCTGATAACCTATCTTCAATTTTCACACGTCCCACTTCCCTGTACGCAGTTGGCTATGAAGTAGCCGTTTCGCTGTCCAGGTCGAATCCATGCGGCAAAGATGCTCGAACCACCTTAGATGCCGCAGCAGAAGTACGTAGTCCACTGCATATATGTCACTGCGGCGGAGCACCACTGTGTCACCATTTGGGCCACTCCAGCCGAGGCGCAGAATATGTCACCATCAACAACAGCGGTACATCAGCCAATTGAACTGATGCTTCGCTGTCACAGAAACAAAGTGAGCTACGGAACGAAGAACAATGAGAGGGAAAGCGGAGGTAGCGTAAAAGCTTAGTGCCCAAAACCAACACTCAGAGACAAGGCGCCTACACCTTATCAATAACATACCAAGACAAACAGCTGGCTATCGTGCAAAGATAAGGCGCCATCGGCGAGACAGCTTCCTTGCGGCTTTCACTGCCACACGTCATAAGCAGCCATCACCCCGCAGATAACTCACCACCAAACATACTTTAAACAGGCAATCCGATTAGGAGATGGCAGCAGACGCGCCACCGGTGTCGGTTGCCAGTCATGTGCTGTAAAGTGTCGATCCAAGCACAAGGCGGGTCACGTGGACTCCAGTCCGGAAGGCGAGACGGACCGACGACACCCAGTTTGATTGTCAGTGACTTCATTTCACGCTGCCAAGTTAATTTTTGCCCACCTCCGACCTTGTGCCACACTAAATCTGGCAAACAAAACAACGCCCTCCTCGGTAAGCAATGACCATGCATGGATAACAAGTGACCAAGCCAACGCAGATTATTCGGTGTTGTCTGTTGTCCTAGCATGATTATCACTACATAGTGGTCATCTTGGCACATCATCTATGCGGACACGCTAGGGCCACCTGACAGCAATAATGCTTCGCAGACAACGATGATCAAAGACCTGAAGGCGCCGCAGGTCCTCTGATCGAAGGAGCCAAGTCTCAATCTCACCGAGCAGGACGGCCCTCACTGTGGCCTCGTAAACGCGACCTTTAAGACAAAGGGAAACCTCTTTCTGATGCCATAGATTCCAAGGCAGTTCTGACTTTTGCATACGTCAATTGCCTGAAGTGTTTATACGCCGATCGTTGTCGATGCAGCTGCCAAAGTGGATGAAGTGATCAAGTACATCGAGTAGTTTGTTATCAAGGTAAAATGGGTCCTTAAGCGGCTGGACGTTCTGTAACAATACCTTGCACTTTGAAGGTACGAAACGCATGCTAAATAATGGGGCCACTAAAGTGAGGTTATTCAGGATTGATTAGGCGACCCTAAGATTGTTAAAAAAACAATATCTTCTGCACAATTAAGGTCCACTGACTTTTCCCTAGGCAGCCTGCATCGTGAGCCTCCGCAAGGAAGCACTCCATGATGCAGTGCACGACGGAGTTGAACAAAAGTGGGGAAATTAGACAACCTTGACGAACGCCACTTGCTGTCGGAAAGCTATCCGACAGGTCACCGTAGACCCTGACGCGGCCTGTGGTGTTCGAGTACAGAGCAGGTGAAATGCTCACATATTTCGTGGAAACACCCTACCACACAAGTATTTCGGACAGAATTCATCAATCGACTGAATCGAACGTACTCTTGAAATCGAAAAACAGCTATTGTTGGCCTTCGGTACGTGTGGTGCTGTTCTAGCACCTGCCGCAGTGAATTTGTGGTCTATACAGCCCCGCACTTGGCGGAAGCCTGCTTGCTCTTCTCTAATCCGAGATTCTTGTTCCGCACTGAGGCGACGAACGAAAATTGTGGCCAGTAATTTTGTCATGACTGGCGTTACACCAATACCCTTGCGATTAGCACAATTGGTACGGTTGCCTTTCTTGTTTATCGCCACTACAATCTATTCGCTCCAGTTGGCTGAGAAGGCCTCTTTCTTCCAGAACTGTTAGAATAAGGAGATCATTGCTTCGCATAGGACCTCACCACTAGCCTTAAATAGTGCGGGTACGAACGAATCCGGGCCAGCAGCACAAAAACGATTAAGAGTTGCGATCGGGTCTCGGACATCAGCCTCAGACGGGACGTCTATACTAACCGGCCATGGCTCAGCCGGCATCACCTGAGTAGGAAGAAGACAAGAAGCAGGAGGCCAACTGAAGTGATCTCGAAAGTACTCCGCCCAAAGAGCCATACGGTACTCCTTGTTGTGAATCAGGGCACCCGCGCTGTCTCTGATTGTCTCGCTGAAGCCAGATTTCTTGGGACCACTGGCGCGGATCATCTGGAAGAGCTTGCGAAAATTGCCTACTGCTTCAGCTTCCTAAATTGTTTGAGCCCTACTAGTCCACCAGGATTCCTTTCCAGCAAGTAGGCTCCGCCTTTGTTCGAGACTAATAGTCCGCCTAGCTGCATTGTACTGTCAGCCGTGTGCTTTCTTCTGGATTCCAACAGGTCAACCGACCTCTCGGATGTCCAGTGACTGATGCGGTGTTGACTAATAGTACCGCAAACGGAGGCTCCTGCATGGTGCATGGCGTCCGAGATCCTATTTCATTGAAGCTCAATACC